TAAATTTAATGAAATTGTTAATATTGATCTTAGTGTGGTTTTAAATTGAATAAATTGCTAAATTTTAAAAAGAACTATGAAGAAGAAAGAATATGAATACCCATATATATCTAATGAATTTGCATTTATATGTAGATTTTGAAATTCTATAAATTAAAGAATCAAATAATAATTTTAAAACTGCATAGATTTTTATAAATCAAATGTATAAAAAAGCGATTGATAATTAATATTTTCATTTTTAGAAACGTTTTATCAATAATCGATTTCATATGTTAATATGAAATCAATACAAAAATTCAAAAATTGTTATATCCTATTTTACTTATTAAAAATTTTCTTTTTTTTTTCAAATTCTTTTTGCTATCTTTTTTTAGTCTATAATAAATTGTTAATAATATTGTTATAATATTGTAATAATAATAAAAATAAAATTGTTAATTTATAATTTCAATTAAAATTATATTATAGAACTAATTTTAATATTTTAAATCAAAGATATAACAATAAATTAGATTTAAATTACATAATTTTATAATAATTAATTTGTATTATAGAAGATATTTTTAAAATTATCATATAATTGAAAAAAGAATGGTTTCTAAATAAAAATGAATTGAAAATATATCTTTTTTCATTTTTTCATATTTTATCTACATTTTATATAAACATATATAAGAATAACACTGATTAGAATAATAAATAAATGATAAGAATAACAAATTGAATAAAGCATTATGTTTAAGTGTATGCAATAAGTAAAAATCAAATTTGAAAATTTGATTTTTTCGGAAAATAGATTATTATGAAAATTTTAGATTTATTATTTTTATGAAATAACTTTGTTCTCGATTATATCACAATTTCGGAAATATTCTAAAACTTTATATATATATTGAACTATTACTTATCATATAATATCATATAATATATATATATATATAAGTATATATATAATATATATAGTATACATATCATGAAAAATATGAAGTATAAAATATAGACAGTTTATGATAATTAATCTTCTATAATGCCACATGATTTGGAATATATTTAAATATTTATATTCTTTTTTTTATTGTTTATCATTTTACTATTATATCTTATTAGTTTGTCATTATACTATTAATACTATATGATTTATTTATGATGATCATTAATTTTTATATTTCAAATATAATAATAATGATAATTTTATATTTCAAATATAATAATAATGATCGATTATTAGAACTTTTTCTTTTTATAAGCAAAAAAAATTCTATATATTGTCTATATAATCTATACAATTTATATGTTATTATTTACAATTATTACAATTATTAACTTTTTATAAATGATGTTATAATTTTTATATATTATTATTGTCAATTTTTTTTAATCTTTTATTATAAAAGTTGAATTCTTCGAATAAAATTAAATTAAATTAAATTATTGTTTTATTTTTATATATAATATAATAAATCTTATAATAAGATGTCTCTATGATTTTGATATGAAAAAGATTGTAAAAGCATAATTATTTTCATATCATAATAATGATATATATATAAATATATGTTTTTGTGCGGATTTTGATTAGGTTAAATTAATTTAAATTAAGTGAATGGAAGAAATATTCGAAGATTAAAAATTATTACTTTCAGATTATTAAACTCAGATTATATTTATTTAACTTAATCATTGTGATAATGATGCAATTATGAGCAATATAATTTAATTTGCAAATATTCATAAGGGACAAATAGTAAACAGAAATGTAAAAATGCAAAACATCTAAGATATGTTTTCTTAATAATTGAAAAAATATCAATAGATTAAATCTTACAATTGCAATCCATTTAAGCAATTATTACAAATCACTAAAGAATAATATTCTTCTATGTAAACCTAATGAAATATAATAAAGAAAATTTATTTTCTAATTTTTTGTATAAAATTACTAGTGTACTTATACTTTTTTATTGATGCCTTAATGAATGATATTTTGTTTATAAGAATCATTCACTTTGCATATAATGAAATCTATCCAAATTAAATACATGTCTGTTGATCTGAATTGAAACTATTGTAAGTAGTAGTTTCTCGCGAAATAAATGTCTAGAAGATGTATGCCCAATTATCTACGATTTGCTTTATGATAGAGCAAAAAAAAGTAAGGTATTAAAATTTACGCTTCTTTTAAATAATATTTATTTTTACCTTCATATTTTTTCTGTAATCTTATCTTCTTTTACTTTACAGAATGTCCCAACTATGACTTGTTATATGTATTAGCACTGTTACAGATAAAAATAGTTTGGGGTAATGATCTTATTTCATAAGTTTTTTTTTGGGATTCTGTAATTTTTGAAAATTTTCTAAATTTTATGTTTTAAATATGATTTCCATTTTCCAAATTCTCAGATTTCGAGCAATTAATATATAGTCAGTCATAGAAGTTCTCATAGATTTTAAAAGAATTCAATTAATAATTATATCAAAACAATAATTTCATTTTATATCAAATATTATGAATATATATATATTATAATAGATTATATACTTTTTTATTAGAATATCATTTTCAAAAATAAAATTAATCTTTGAAATATTAGTATTATTTTCTTTCTTTTTAATATAATTTCGCAATAAAGTAAAGTTCAATAAAATAAAATAGAATTGAAATTTTTATTTTGATATTTTTAGAAAATAATTAGATTATAATATTTTATTTTAAATTATAATAAAAAATATTTTTAAATCGTACAAATCATATATAAAATATGAAAAAAATAATAAAAATTTAGAAATTAATCTCACGCATTCAAAGAGATTTTTCGTTAAAAATAAATTATTCTATGCATAATCTATTATAACTATATATATATATATTAAATTTTTATTAAAATTAAATTTTTTAACATTGATGAATTTCCTTATAAGATAAAGTATATTTGTAATTAACTATACCTATTTTTGAATTGTTTAAATTGATATTAGAATACAGAATTTTAAATTAAATTAAGATTAAATTGAAATGATTGAAAAGAAAAATAAAAACAGTAAATTTCTTTGTAATATCGATAAAAATGATGATAATTAATATTATAAATTAATTTTTAACGTTTTAATAAGAATTTTTGAGAGAATCTATAACCGGATGATTCATTCTTGAGAAGGTGAAATTATTTTTTTTTAAACAAATGAAGCAAGTTAAATCATATTAAATAAACTGAATACATGGTTTTATAAATAATTTTTAAAAAAATCATTAGATAATGAATAAAAAATTAATAAATGATAATTTTATTTCTTGCAACAAAGATATTGTTTTTTAAATTCTTTCATTTAGTACGTTTTTCTTTCATTTAATACAGTATGAAGATTATCAACTAAGAAATAACAGAAAAAATATTAAAATATAATGAAAAAATAAGAAAAAAAAAATAAAAAAAAAAATTAGAAAATCTGTTCAAAAATCTTACTTATATATATTAATTATATATAATTATATATATTAATTATATATTAATTGTATATATTAATTATATATCTGCTATACATATAAAGCAAAAATTCATTAATAATCTCTTAAGAATAATAAACTTTAATTTTTAAAAAATAAAATTAAACATGATAACACATGATGTAGCACTTTTATGTATTGATTTCTAATTTCAATAAAAATTGGAATATCGAAATGTAATTATTAATAATTGTTATTTTTTCCATTTTTTTTCGTTAATTATATTATTTAACATGAAATTTTCGATTCAGCATTGATTTAATCAATTATTAATTATTATATTTTTATACATCATAAATAAATTAATTTTTTCATAAATAGATTTCTATTATAAGAATATTACAAAGATAAATAATACTATCACAAAGATAAATAATTTAAATCGATTTTAACATTAATAAAATAAAGAAATTTTTATAATATTTTTATAATATTTATATTCTTTTTTGTATTATTATTTATTTATTTTCTTATTTTTACAATATTTATATATTTGTTTTCACAAATAGATCTATTTATTTTAATTCCTTTATATGTTTCTTTTAGTTTATAATTATGAATAATTATAAATTTATTCAAAATTTTTATAATTTTCACAACAATAAAATAAATTCTTATAATTTATCTTATATTTTAAAAAAGTTTTATGCAATACGCATTATAAGAAAACAAGCAATATTTTTTATAAATGTAAAATTTCATAGATTTACAATATTTCTTATATTTATTAAAATATATTTGTTAATTTAAATTTAATAAAATAACTTTATTTTTAAATTTTTTACATATAAATCTCATTTAAATATAAATAAATATAAAAATTAAAACATAAATTGTATTTATTGATATTAAATTTTCAGTAAAAAAATTCCATAGATCATCAATACAAATTTAGAAATTAATATTTAGAATATTATTTATACTATGAATGCGAATAAAATTATATAATAAAAGTATTATCAAATACTTTATGATTAATATATTCTTTCTATAAGTTACATATGTAAATATATATAAAAAATAATATATGAAATATAGATATAGATATTTAGAAAATTTTATAAATTTTTAAATCATTGTAAATAAATATAATAATATGTTTTAATATATTTCTATTTAAAATTTAATTTTTTAGTTTATTCAGATAAATAAAGATAAAGATCTTATTAAATATATCACATTTCTTTTAAATTTTTTAAAAATTTATACAAAATTTCTTTTTTTCCAATAATTAATTCAACTAATTCTTTTCAAACGTTTTTATATAATACTGTATGTATATAATATTGTGTATTCTAGTGATAAAAATTATAACGTTTGATTACATATGTCAAAAATATAAATGGCAACTATTGTCCGGTAAAACAAAATAACATAATTGAAAAGTGAATATTCATTCATATTTCATGGAAGAGACTTATGTTTCGTGTTTATTTCATATTACAATGAGCACCCATTATTAAACTACGGACTGTGATTCAGGCCGGCCAGGCACGTGCGTCGTATGCGCGGATGAAGTAGTGGAGCGAGGCGCAGCCGCAGTCGTCGTTTGGATCTCGATCGGGTCAGTTCTGTAGTGTGTTCGTAGGTAGATTCGCGAGCACTAGTTCAAGCGTCGTTCAGTCCATTCCGAACCGTCGATCGGAATGTGTTTTTCATAGTTTTTCTATACGACATATAACATAATTTTTTTTTGCATATTTGTCCATTTTTTTGCAATCGTGTGTGTTTATCATTATTGTTCATTAATTCGTCCTTTTAAGACATTAACGAAACAGGCAAAAAGTGAAAAAAAAGAGAAAAAAAGAAAGAAGAATATTATTATAATTCGAATTATCATGGATAGGTCATCGAAAATAATTCTAAGAAAGATTATCATAGATTTTGTATGCATTTTTATTGGTAAGTGAATTAACATATTTCATTACATATAGATGCGTTTATGTGCGAATGAATGTTTCTGCGATTCGTAGTACGAGTGGTAAACGACTGCCGCGAGAGATTTCTTTGTATCCGTGCTAGAAGGGTACGATGAACGATGATTACGTTATATCGGGCGGCTGTCAGATTGACAGTCGAGGCGCCGCACGCGGCCCGTTTGATCTCTGTACGAACTAACCTTTAAATTGGCAGGTGCTTGCTTTGTTGAGGATATTGTTACCGATGGTGTGTTATCTTTACGCTTGTAAATTCTCACGTTGTAATTACTTTAGTTATATATTCTGTTCGATAAAACTACGAATTGTTTTTGAAAGTAGAATATTCGTTATGCATATCGAAAGGTTACTTAAGAGCCTTTAGGAATATAGCCTCTAGGAGATTCAAGATTTTCATTGCACGAATTAATTATTTAATACGTTCTTCTAACGTAAATTAAATGAACCTAAACAAAAGAAAGGCACAAATTGAATACTAATAGTAGTTTTTATATTTGTAAAAGAAATTTTTAGTCAGGATTTTTTGCAAACTTTTGTATGTTTTTACATGTTATTTGTGAATTCGCCACTAAGCGAATTCTTTAAAGATTTGTTATTTAATTTGAACAAAATGTGTAGATTATTTGGTTTGGTTGGTGGATTATTCAAATATTTGAATTTTTAAATATGAAATTTTTGAATTTTATTATGAAATTGATTAAAAAATATTGTTTAATTTATCTTGTAAATATTATTTTGTAAATATTGTTAATTTATCTTGTAAATATCTTGTAATTTATCTTGATAAATATAATATATATGTAACACTGTTTAGCTCGATCGATTTAATGTGAGAAGTGGTGACACGGTTTAACGGGCTATCTAGTACATTGCAGTTATTTAAATGTTTCTTTTTTTGAAAATTTAATGTTTAATATGAAAAAAAATTAATAGATTTAAAGATTTTTTTAAATAATTTTTAAATATTATATCATATTATATCATAACATTTTTGACAAAAAATAATTTTTTCAATATTCTTTGATTAACAAGTATAAAATTATGAGAATTTGTTTTAATAAAAAGAAAAATCTAAAATTAATTTGAATAAATCATTATAAAAATATTTTTAAAAGCTAGAAAATTTGATCTATTTTATTTCTTAATTATAATAGTATATTTTTATTATTATTAATTTTAATTTTTTAATTATAAAATTATATTTATCTTTTTAATAATTTTTTAATTTGTTTCTTGAAATCTCAATAAAAATAATATAAAACAACTATTATTTTAAAAAAAATTTTTTAATTTATTTATACATATAAATTTAATATAAAAAATGCATATATATATATATATTATACTATTTTTATTATCTATTAAATTATTTTTATTAAAATCGAAATAAATGAAAATTTTTCATCCATGATATCATTATTTTAGTTATTTTTTTTATTACAATTCAATATTTTATTAATAAAACAAAATTAATTTTTAATTTATTATTTCATTTCATTATTGATTTTTTAAAATTTAAGAAAAAAACAAATAAATTTTTATTACGATATTTTTTCTATTGATATTGATTATTATAAGTACCCAAATAATATATTTATAATATATTATAATTCTATCGTTTCGAATAAAATGATTTTTTCTTATTGAAATTTTATTCTTTTCGAATTTATTTCCATGTATGTTATATCGTGTATAGAATATTCTAAAAAAATAAAATAAAATAAGTTAAAAGTCAAAGAAAAAAATCTGTAGTAAATCTAGTGATGTAAAGTCAAAATACATGAATTTTATATATATTATATATTATTATTTATATATTATGTATAATATTATATATTATTAATATACATACTACATATGTAATATTATTATTATAAATGAATAAATTTAATCTAATATAAATATTGTATTGCAAACTGATAAATAGATATTATATTAAAGTTACAATGAATATTAAAATGATGTAAAAAAAAAAGTAATAAAGAAAAATAATCGTATTCATAATATTTAAAAAATTTTGTTTATACATGAATTATAATTTAATTATAAATGATTTTATGAAATAAATAATAAAAATAATTGGTATTAATTAATTAAAAAATATTTTTTTTATCCAATTCTATTTAATATCATTTATAACTTATTTATAATATAATTTATATTTATAATAATGTTATAAATTATAACGTAATGATTCGTACTTTTTTATATAAATGATAAAAAATAAAAGTTATATTAATTAGAGATATTTTTTTATAATTGAACTTTTACAAATAATATAATAAATATTTTGATAAAATATATCATAAGGAAAATAAAATTTAAATGAAAAATTGATAAAAAAAATTTCTTTATATTTATTATTTCTTTTTATATTTATTATCGACGTAGCCATTTCTTTGAAATAAAATTTATTATTGAAAACGAGATTTATTTGCTTTATCTATCATGTTTATTCGAGTCAATGTGAAAATATTAAGAATGAGCAAAATTTATAATTATTTAATTTTTTATTGTAAAAAGAAAAAAAAACAATAAAGAAAAAATATGTGTTATATATTTTGAAATATATGAATATAACATAAATTGGATTATATATATATAAAAATATATATAAAAATAGGTCGAAAAGAAATGATATGAAAAAACATTTTTGTCAAAAACATTAGAAATATTAGTTTTATTTTATAGAAATTTATTCATTCAAAGTTATATGTTTTTTAAAAATATCCTTTTATTGATGCTTACATATCAAATAAATCGATCGATTATACAGATTGATTGTATTGATGTATTGATGTATTGATATAGACGAAAAATATTACGCTACACTGCACTAATTCCCTGATAGATTGTAAATAATACAGATTCTTAATCTTTCTAGTTTTATGCATTTCAACTGAAATATTAATTGATAATTGAATTTTTATTTGTTGAAATTAAGTTTGGTTTATAGTGTCTTTTTATCATATTTTTAAGAACTGTTTCAATTTTATTGATTCTTGGATGCCGAGCATTCGCTATAAAGAAATATAGTTTAAATGAATTTACGAATAGATCGTTCAGTAAATGTTTACATTTTAATAAACACGAATAAATATAATCGCTTATACTTTGTTCTAGTTCATTTAATATCGCTCGTTCGATTTCATAGTATTAAATATTAAGAGAAATAATGAAATAAAAGTATTAAATTATATGAAAATAATTTTTAATAATTTATTATTTAAAATATTAGAAGCAAATTTTGATATCATTTACATCTTACGTCATACATCAAGCGTAGATTACACTTTCATTGTTTATATTTAATTTTTATTCGTTTAATATGCTAGCAATATAGAAAATCAAATAAATATAATAAATATAAATATTCATAAAAATATATTTTATATAAATTCAAAATGAAATTATTTAAAGTCTCATTTGAATTTTAATTCATATTGAATTTTAAAAAATTAAAAAAAATTTATGAAGTAAATAATAAGAAATAAAATTGATATTAATTAACTAGAAAATGTTAATTAACTAAAAACATCTATTTATAGTGCATATATACTACAATTTGATTCAAATATTGTAATAGATAGAGAAAATAATATTAATAATAATTTTTTCACAATTAATTTAATTCTAAATAATTATTTTTTTATCCTCTGCAAAAAATTTTTACGATATAATATCTTTACAATATAAAATAATAATTTTAATATTTATAAAAAGTATACAGGAAACTCGATTTAAAATAATTAAAATAATAAAATAAGACAGTTTGTTTGGAGCACCGACAAAATTATACAAATTGTTCTTATTTCAATTTAATAAGATTATTTTAAACAAAGCTATAACAATTTCAAAAATTTTTTCTTTGTTAATCAAAATTATAAAATCTTGGTTTTTAATTTCCTATATATTTTTTTCTTATGTCCATGTTTTTTAATACTTTTGTATTAGTCAAGTTTTGCAAATTGTGGATATGATTCATGAGAATCGTGGTAAAAGGGCAAAGACAAAATGCCTTTCGACAAAGAGAAACGTGGCAAACAGGGGAATCACAGGCACAGATGAAAATCAGATAACACAAAAATGAGTATTATTCGCGACGAAAAGTAGGCCGAGGGCATTTTCACCTTGAAAGTTGCTCACAAGTGTCTATTTGTTCCATCTTTGTTTGTTGCGTTCCATCTTTGTTTTCGCATTCAACATGTGAATAAGATTGTACAACTTCATTTTTTTTTATTTTTTTTTTTATTAAATCGTTGCACATAAAATAGCATATAAAATTTTTCGATATTTTAAATGAAATCGAAGTTTATTTTTAAAAATGTGAAAAAGAGAGTTCTGAAAGAATCATGAATATGTTAATGTTTATCGAGTTATGAAAGAATTGAATGTTTAAAATTGTTTTTCAAAATATTTCAAGTTTAAATATGTATTGCATTGATACATAAAATTTTATTTTATTGTTTTCATTGAATCTAGGATTTAATAATCCGATCTAAGATTAAAAAAAAAATTCGAATTTTAAAACTCTAATAGTTTCTTTGTTTATTGGTCATTTTAAAATAAATTATCATTGAGTAAAATATTTGAAAAAAAAAAAAATAAAAAATTTATTTTAGATCTAAAATATAGAAATTAAAATTATATTAATGTGTAAATATTTTTTGAGAATTATTATTCGTGATTTATGATTTTCAATCTTTTTAAATTTTTTATAATTTTTACTATCTAATTAATGTCGTCATTTAGCTTCATTAAGTTTACAAAATCAGAAATAATCCCTTAAAATACAAGAAGTTAGTACAATTAATAATTGCTATTCAAATAATTGCTATTCAAATAATTCAATAATTGCTATTCAAATAAAGTTTAATGAAACTGAATTATTTTAATAATTGATATTATTTAATTTTAAAGAAATAATATTTCGCATATTTTCATTCATTATTTAATATTAAAATT